ATATATATATAGAGGGATGTTATTCTACATTCTTTGTCATTCCTACACCCTATACAACCCTCATCTCAACCATTCAATTTTTAATCAATTAATTGTTTCATAATATAAAGTATTAATCATAATTAATAAACTCTATTCATATTCCATAAATATTCAAATCATAATAAATAAACTCCAATCATTTCTATAAATATCTCAATTAATTGGGTTGCAAAGGTTGTACAAATACACAAGGTTGTAAAAGAAATATACCCTATATATATATATATATATATATATATATATATATATATATATATAAAGAGGAGGTTACTTTGCAAACCTTATAATTCATGCAAACAATATAAACCACCATCAATCAATAGAATAATTCTATGTTTTTCTCTTTATTTTTAATAAATAAGGGTATGAATGTCATTTTACTTTGTAATAGATAATTTTGGTAATGTTTTAATTGTTTTTAAATATGGAAGATTAAATAGAGTATTGTTTTTAAGGAAATTGTAAATCAATTGATTTTAATATATAATTAATACCATTAATTAATAATACGACATCAATTACGAAGTTTATTTGTTATGAAATTATTTATATCATTGTCATAATAACAAAAGAATCTATTTGTAAAAATAATAAATCAAAATGTTTAAAAAATGAAACTAATTTCATTTTGGTTAGGAACCATGAAACTACTTTCATTAATGAAATAATAGTATTCAGATCTTAAAATGTTTTATTGAATGAACTATATTTGTTTTCATTAATAAAACCAATTTCAAATTAGCTATAAACCATGAAACTGATTCCATTTTTGTTAGGAAACATAAAATAAATTTAAAAATGAATGAAATATTAGTATTCAGTTCTTGAAGTGTTTTATTGACTGAACAATATTTGTTTTCATATGTAAAACCGAGTTCATCTTAGTTAGAAACCATGAAACTGATTTCATTTTGGTTAGGAAACATTTCAACAAATTTCACTGCTGAAACAATGTCATTCAGTTTTTGAAATTGTGGAGTCCATGAAACCAGTTTCAATGATGAAACAAATTTCATTAACGAACACATGTTATTCGGATTTTTGGAAAATGTTCCATTGACTGAACCGTATCTGGTTAAAATTTCATTATGCAGACGAACAATGAAACCAATTTCACTAATGAAAAAAATAAGATACAGTTTCCAAAATGTTTTTATTGATGAAACCAATTTCACTAATGAAATCGTATTATTGTTTAAAATTAGATACAGTTTCCAAAATGTTTCAAAATGATCGAACAATATGGCTAGAAGTTAAAAATGGTTTGTCAAATTTTCCCTTTCATGATTAAATATTAAATCTTTTATTATATTTTTTACTTTCCTAATATAACACATTTTAATCACAACCATTAATCAAGAAAATTGATGGATGAGATTGATTTATAGGATTTGCACAAAAAATGTGGTTTGCATTTGATCGCTCTTCTACCTCTGTATATTTTTGAGGTAAGTGCAGAAAATAGTAGATAACTTTGTTCTAGTTGCAATAAAATAATTTAGGGTGCTTTGTGTAATCGTGGCAAAAATATAGGGGTAATAATTGTAATATTATGTAATCGCCGTCTTTGCAAATCCCTGAACCCTAGTGATTAACGCCCATATTGAGTTAGCCAGTGCCATTAAAATCCGAGCTTGCAAAATCGACCCACTTCACCATCGGAGCCCCTGAAACAGACGCAAAATCACCGGCGATGAAGGCTGTTCGTCTTTCCTCTTCTTTCCCAGCCCTAAAAAGCTCAATATTTGGATAGTTTTCAACACCAGTGGAAACCTCAATCCGTCATACATTTTCGATTTCTTCTGCCGTCTAGTTTTCAGTTTGGTAAGCATTGATTATTAGTCTCTATGTTTTAATAGATTCAGTAAACTGAGTAATGATCGTATGTTAGGAGTGTAAAGTGGGCGTTCCTTGCACTATATATATTGTTCTGTTTTTGAATTTCTGTATGTTTTAGGGTTTATGGGTTTTGTAGGGTTTTTACGTAATGAGACTTTTGTTCTGTCAATCCATATTTGAATCCGATGTGTTGTTTGAATTTTCTGGAGATCAGGAGATTCTAATAGATTCAATGGTTCTTGCAAAAAGTTGAGCAATTTGTCTAAACTCAGCTTGTACTTCTTACTCCCTTTTTCAATGTTTGATTAATTTTGGTTCCACAGTTCTTTGCCAGAAGAATTGTGTTTGATGGTTAGCATAAACTATCAGAGGGTTCTTCAATAGCTTCTCAGAGTTTGATTGCAGAGGCATCATCAATGTTGCAGAACTTCAATTGCATTTCTGACCAACTGGACCTCGGTTCCATTGTTAGCAGTGGCTCGTTCATTAGTCCTTTTAAGACTCGATCACATGAACCATGGACGAAAGTTTCCAGTTCACAAATATACAGTCATTCATTACAGTGTAGAGCCACTTGCCTTGATATGGTCACTGACATCGGAGTAGATTCATGGAGGAAGAACAGAGATGAAGTTGGTTTTCCACAAAATTTCCAGAAAAAGCATCCAAAAACCGAGTCTTCTGATTCAATATCACTCTCCTCTGGTAGAATTTTCGTGCATAATGACGAGCAAACTAATAACGACCTTCTACAGTATTCATGCAAGCGATGGGAATTCCTCAAAGCATCAAGATTGGTGGCTGTAATGAGCCGAAGAAACCAAATTCCGCATTTTGGTTCTTGCATAAAGTTGATCAGAGGTCTTGTGAAGATTGATTATATAGATAGAGCCATCGAGGTCCTAAATTCCATGGTTATGTCTGGTGGGGTTCCGGATATTCTCACTTACAACATAATAATTAGTGATTTATGCAATAAACAGCGTGTATACACTGCTCTTGATATCCTAGAGGGCATGAGCGTAAGCGGTTGCCCTCCAGATGCCTTTACTTATAATTCCATAGTGCGACTCATGCTTGAAAATGGCCATATTCACCAAGCGGTTTCATTTTGGAAGGCTCAGTTAGCAAAGGGTTGCCCTCCTTATATCAGCACTAGCATCATTATCATTGAGCTGGTCTGCAAGTATCGTGGGGTTATAAGAGCGATAGAAGTTTTGGAAGATTTAGCAGTTCACGGTTGTGATCCTGATCTCGTGACCTATAATGCGATGATTAATGTGACAAGTAAACGAGGAAATTTTGGAGACATGGTCTTGATCGTACATGATCTTCTATCTCATGGTATGGAGCCGAATACAGCAATGTACACCACGATCCTGCACTCCTTTCTCAACCATGGGTTCGTAGATGAGGTGAACGAGATCCTTTCTTTCATGGACAAAACTTCCAACCCTCCAAGCATCATAACTTACAATATTTTGATAAAAGGGTTTTGTAAATATGGGCTTCTTGATCGTGCTATTGGCTTTTTCGATGAGATGTTATCTTGTGATTGCTGTCCTGATATAATCACTTACAACACCCTTTTAAGCTCTCTTTGTGAGATTGGGATGATCGATGAGTCCCTGCAGATTCTTCGCTGTTTGGAAAATAGTGATACCGCACCAAATCTGATAACTTACAACATTATGATCAACTGGTTGGCGAAAAAGGGTTATATGGAGAAAGCAGTCGGATTATATCAGCAAATAATGAAAGAAAAGAAGGTCTTTCCTGATGACATTACTCACCGATGTTTGATTTCGGGGTTCTGTCAAGCTAATATGATCGATGAGGCCATGGAGATTTTGAAGGTGATGAAAAAGAAGAGCCATTGGGCGTCGCATAGTTCTTACAATTACATTATACATAGGTTATGTGAGAATCGGAAACTAGATGGTGCAATACAGGTCTTAAAGATGCTGGTCTCGAGCCCATATAGGGTGCAACGTGAAACGTTTTATTCTGAAATGCTTAGAGGTTTAGCTACGGCTGGTATGGACGATGAAGCTGAAAAACTACATCAGAAACTGATCGAATGGAAGGCTGTTTGACGACGAATCCATGTTCAGAGCTTGAACAAAAAGAGGGTCTTTCTGGTCTATATGTGTTCCTTCTTTCTTTTTATGTATTCATGCTTTCTAGTTTGACAAACAAAAGATTTACAGATGCTTATTTGTCATTTTCACAGAAGGGAACTGCAAAAGAATGTTAATTTCAGTAGATTGATACTGATGTCTACTTTTTTTCCTAGAATTTAATACACAAAAAACTGGTAAGTTATGATCTTTGCTGTTCATCTCTCAGTTCAGAAAACTTCTTAAATGGCATACCTTTTGTAGACCATTTGTTCAAGTTTTTTGCATAATCTGGACTACTTGTATTCAGAATCCATCAACGGGAAAGTCTTTTTCAAGCGTTTAATCGATTCTCCGGAAATCACTCTCCTTCTAAACAGCGAATTACCCAGATCTATGGCCTCAGCCCGCCATCCCGCAAACCCGACCCCTTCCACCAACAAAACATAGGTCGTTTGGTTCGGTTGACACCCTCTTTCGACCATTTCTTCCAAGACTCGAATCGCATCATCCATTCTATGAGCTTTACATAATCCAAGAAGCATAATATTGTAGGTTATAACAGTAGGAATGAACCCATTACTCTCCATACTCTCCAATAGCCCAAAAGCCTCGTCCACCATCCCATCTCGACACAAACATGAAATAAGTGCGTTATACGTGATCTCATCGGGGTCGATTCCTTTCATTATCATCTCGGAAACCATACTAAAAGCCTTCTCCCTTTCTTTATTGTTCCATAAGGCACTTATCATTGTGTTATAAGTACTTACATCAGGTGGACATCCTGTTTCCCCTAATCTTTCAAAAATCTGCAGAGCTTCATCTGCATTTCCATTTTTACACAAAGCCGATAACACCGTGTTGTAATTGACTATATCGGGTAAACATCCGCTCGATATCATGTAATCCAAGAAACCAATTGCAACATCCAATCTGCCTTCTTTACAAAAAGCAGAAATCAGAGGATCAAAAGTGAAAGCATCAGGAGCAAGTCCAGATTCAACCATGATTTTCAATAAGTTCATAGCTTCATCTACCTTCCCATCTCGACACAACGAGTTTATCAAAATGCTGTAAGTAACCGAATTCGGATCACAGTTTCTTGAAAACATTTCTTTCATTAATCTTTCTGCATCACCCCATTTCCCCTGATTCAACAATGCTCTTAGCAGGATGTTGTAAGAGATCACATCCGGTTTGCATCCTTTTGATGGCAAGCTTCTAACGAACTCGAAAGCTTCCTCCATCATTCCTTCTCTACACAACCCTCTGATAATGGCATTATATGTATACATATCAGGTTGAAGCCCTCTGGATAACATCTCATCTAAAAGCTTCATTGCTTCATTAATCCCACCTTCAAGAATGGTGGCTTCAATCAAGATTGTGTAAGTAATGACCGTTGGATTACAGTTATCCTCCAACAATTGTCCCAACATCTTCATAGCCAATCCAAGTTTCCCTCTGCTACAAAGAGACCCAATCAAGATATTATAAGTAACCACATCTGGTGAAAACCCATGATTCCTCATCCGATCCAACACCCGATTAGCCGATTCGATTTGATTCAACTTACAAAACCCACTGATGACTGCATTGTAAGCAAACACATCTGGTTCGCCATGGGATTCGAGTATCTGGATGACTTTAACAGCTTTTTCGATTCGTTTTGTGTTGAAGAAACCCTTAATGAGCTTGGTACAGAGGATTACATCAGGTTTATAACCTTTTGCCACCATGAGCTCCAAGAAGTAGAGGGATTCATCGTATTTGCCAGTTTTGCAGGAGCGATTGAGCAATTTCATGAAATGGGTTTCTTTGTAGGAGTAGGATTGCAAATGGGTAGGCTTGGAAGTGGTGGTAAGTTTGAGATTTGAAGAGCTTCTGTTAGGAGGAATAGGGTTAGGGTTAGGGTTCCTACAGGTGATGAGAGAGTAATGGTGATGAGAATTTGGAGTGGGGTTTGGGTGAGAGTTGAAGGGAAAGCATTTTGGGGAGAATTCTGTGGAAATCATTGGGTTAAGATTGGAATTCAGGCAAGTTTCAGAAGGCAGAGGGAGAAACAAGTGAAAAATCAAGATTTCGGATTCCACTACGATATCCGAGTGTATGGATAAGATGACCGAAAATTGCTAAAAGAAAATCCTTTAATTCTCTTGTAATCATTATACGTACTTTACAAACACATTCTCTTCTCAAATAATAAGTAGCTAATATATATATATATATATATATATATATATATATATATATATATAGGTGAGTTATTATACAACTTTTTATATTTGTACAACCAATATAATATAATCTTAATCGTTCATTTAATTTGATAAATATGTAATTTCATAGAAGTTTTGATTGTTTCCTAATATAAAGTATTGATCATAATTAATGAACCTTATTTATCTTTCATAAATATTTCAATTTATTAGGTTGCATTGGTTGTACAAATGTGATGAGTTGCATTTGAAACAAATTATATATATATATATATATATATGTATATATATATATATATATATGACTTGGGATCATGTGAGACCAATGGTTTTTCGTGAGACCCGTAAGACCAATTCTCAACCGTTGGATTAGATTTACAATCGTCAGATCTGAACATTTATAAACGCCACGAGACTTCTCACTAATTACGAAATTGCCACCTTGCAAYTTTGCAACCATTAGATCATTAATTCATAAATTTGATCAATGAACATAAATTGGTCTTACGGGTCACACGAAAAACCCTTGGTCTCACGTGAACCCAACCCATATATATATATATATATATATATATATATATATATATAGCTGAGTTATTATGCAATCTTTTACATTTGTACAACCAATACAACTCAATCTTAATTGTTCATTTAATTTGATAAATATGTGATTTCATAAAAGTTTTGATTATTTTCTTAATGGAAAGTATTAATCATAATTAATGAACTCTAGTTATCTTCCATAAATATTCAAATTATAAATAAATGAACTCTCATCATTTCCATAAATATCTCAATTGATCGGATTACGTTGTATGTACAAATGAACCTGGTTACATTTGAAATATACCATATATATATATATATATATATATATATGTGTGTGTGTGTGTGTGTGTGTGTGTGTGTGTGTATATATGCAACTTTTACATTCATACAACCCTTACAATTAAATTAAAAGCATCCATCTGATCATCAACGATTACCATTTGATTGGTTGTAACTACCTTTAATTGAAAAAAAATCAAATCTTTTTTTAAAAAAATGGATGGCGGATAAGTGGGTTACATCGGTTGCATAATCTAAATGGGTTGTATTTGAACGCTTATGTGAAAGGAAATTAATTTGTGAGAAAACAAGATTGAATATGCGTCATTTATCTTATTTAATAAATGGATTAAATAAAACATTATTAAGTTAGGTTGAAAAGGGTAAGATTGTCATTTTATGTATAAAATTATCTGTAACTGTGAGAATAATACCTAATGAATCGAGATTGGGTTTGTTTTCCGCACCGATTAAATCCCTAATAAACTGATTCATCACAAGATAAATTTGTAACAATTTGATTTTTGGTTTTTATGACATGTGATAATTGGTTCGATGATCGTATCAATTATATGATAGTTGTAGATATTTTGTTAATCATATATGATTATGTATATTTACACTTAGACGCATATTATCACATTTGATGATACGTATCTTATATTCACACGTATATTATTACATGTGATATGAACAAAAATTCACAGAGTAGATCATGTGATACGTAACAAATCATATGTTAAACGTAACTAATCACATGTGATTCAAAACGTGGATCCAAAAGTAGAGAAAATTGTGAAAAATGTATGAATTAATTATAAATATCACATGTGATATTTGACGAAAATAATAAAAAAAATCATATAAAACTTTATAAAAAATTATGAATTACAATTAAAAAATAAATAAATCTAAATTTTGAATGGTCATTAAGATGTCGCTTAATTTTTCATATTTTTTTTATAGTTTTCCCTTGAACCTGAGCCTGTATATGTATACCGTAAATTGGTATCCTTGGTGACTAAAACGGACAACGCCTCCATCCTGGGCAACTCCATCGAGTACGTGAAGAAGCTGCATAAGAAGATTCAAGATCTAGAGGCGGTGGATTTGCAGCTCCAAGATGAGGAAGATCTGAGTGGTGGAAGGCGTAGAGGGACGACGATGTTTCAAGTTGAAGCGTTGCTAAACCGAGAGTGATGCATTGGTGGAAATTCAATGTCCACATAAAGAGAGATTGTTCCTAGACGTGATAAAACTAAGACAGTGGTAAACAAGTCAGCTATCGGGATGGGTTTAACGCCCGTTTGATATCTCTGAGGGTAAAATATCTGAATATATCATTAAATTTATTCTTTTTTTTTTAAAGGCCCGTTTAGATAAATAAATTGAATTTTTCCTCTTAATGTCATCATTAAATTTATTCTTTAAAAAAAAAACCAATGATGTAATATTTATATATTCACTCTATTTTTTAAAACAAACGATCACAAGTAAACCAAATATATCATTACAAATAGAAATTTTATATGTAAACCAAGAATTAGGGATTACGTGAGACCGGTCTGTTTTCGTAAGACCCGTGAAATCACTTTTTTACACTTGAAACTTCACAGCAAGACGATGTGAAAGTAATATTCACAGTGTTTGTGTTGTGAAGGCTGGGCTTTTTTCACTTTCACAAAGCTTTGCTGTGAAGTTTCAAGTGTAAAAAATGGTTTTACGGGTCTCACGAAAACAGGCTGGTCTTACGTGAATCCAACACTATAAACCAATTACGAGAAGTTTGATGATATATTTAATGTTAATTAAAAATAAAATATTTTTAATGGAAGTTCTAAATCTTATATTACTAACTTAATAAAGTCATTTTAATATAAATTTAATCAAATTATGTGACAATAATTATCAATTTGACGAGAACAAGAGGACAATAAGATAACTAATATTTGACCAATAAATAGATTGTGTGAGAAAAAGAGTTAAGGTAAGAAACGTAAGAAAAGATCTGAACCCTTGATCATTTTTAATCTCAAACATATCCATGAATCACGCTTGATATGGGGATTGATCTGATGCATCTCGATGTATATTATCTCAGTGCATTTCATCCAAATGTGCATCCAAAGATGAAAATTTCTTCTTATACTTCTCTCCTTAATTCTCCTTCTCATCAGAACCTAATCCTTAAAAATTATGGAACTACTAAGTTATATAATTTAATCAATTTAATTAGATAAAATCCACGTGATAATATGTTCACAATATTGTATGCTATCGATAAATCTTTTTGTTTGATTGTGAATTTCAAAAAAATAGAATTGTTACGACTTATTTATTTTATTTTGCCAGAATTTTAACTTTATAACTAATATAAAAAGAAGCTTTTTGGACCTTTAAATATTTTCCTAAGAAATCATCGGTTTAAATCCTGTAAGGTCATAGAAAATTTTCCCTGGTTCTTCTCTATTACCCAATCCTGAGATTAGTCAGTTCAAACACATATTACATGAAAAAGTAACGTACTTTAACTTGATTCTTATTTTGGGTAATGTATTTTCAGAACTTTCATTTTGGTACCTATGATGTAAAATTTTAAACATCTAATTACTCGAATAACCGATTGAATAGGAACCTTGTCAAACATGAATAGAGTTTGCCCAGAAAGTAGAAAGTCTTGTCAATTCAGAATAATCGGAAGTGGAAAATAGAGAGAAGAATATGATTAAAATTTAAAACTTAAAAAAACACCAATTTTAAACCGAATTACAGATATGTGAAGGAACAAGCCAGCCATAAACTGGTCTATTAGCTAGTCATGAGTGGACCAGGCACCAAAACAGAATGATGGCCTAATAGTTGGCCATTGCAGTTATTTAGTTGAATCACCTTCTCAAGAACTTAGTTCAAAAATCTAATCCTCCAGTGTTTTTTCGAGTTTTTGCGGAAGCAATGCTATAGAACCTCGTTTCGAATGAGGGGCATGACATGAAGGTCAATGAGCTAAAAGAAATTAAAAGGTCGTGGTCCTAATTGAAAACTCATTTAAGATCAGTTATCCAACGCCAAACTGGGGTTCACTAGCTTTGATAGGATCAAACTAGGCTTCTATGCATCTTTGGTAGAGCATCTCCAACAGATTCTCTAAAATGGAGAATCAAAACTCAAAACATCCACACACAAAAAATCAACTCCAACATATTCTCTATTTTTGGAATATAATAAAAAGATTATTTCTCTCATGGTAACCGTTTTTGAGAAATTCTCCAAACTTGAGGAATTTCACACTCGCATACTTTCTCCATTTTGGAGAATCTGTTAGAGCAAAATTTTACCCAAAATCTCCATTTTGGATAATCTGTTGGAGATGCTCTTGTTTGCTAACAAGCACCAGACATGTCTTTTCATTAGACTCTGCATGTTATACTTTCTCAAATTCCAACCTGCCATTATTTGTTCTTTCTTCTGTTTACTAAAAAATCAATCAAAATGGAATTGTAAGATAATGTATTATAGTACACGCAATAAATGGTGCTTTAGGTGCATGTGGTTCCAAGTTAACGCCAGATAAAAAGGATTTCAGTTATAGTTTTTCGTTTGAACCGTATGAGTCAAAAGGCGTACATCAACGACATAGAAATCGTTGATGCTTTATATCAGGCCTCCATTTTTCTTCCTCACAAGATCCCAAAGGAAAGCCTTCTCAGGACATACCTTATTCAGCACCTTTTCCAGTTCTTCTCCTACCTTTTCTCCAGTCTCCACACTTTGAGGTTCATCCATTTGCTAGAGACATGTAGAGAGGAAATGTGAGGAAGACGACTGCTTTTTCTTATGAATACTTCCTCCGACCCAAAATAAGTGTCCACATTTCTATTTTAGTTTATCTCAGAATAAGTATCATTTGTTAAAAGCAAGTGCTTACTTTCCAATTCTATCTTTAATTATGAGATGAAGAAATTTATTACTCCCTCTATTATTAAGGGTAAAATTGTCATTTAGTTACTTGAAAAGTGTTGATAACAAATTTCTAAAATTGTACATCTTTTTCATCTTGGACATTTATTTTCAGGATGGAGGGAGTTAGTAAATACACACACACACAGATATATATATATATGGAGGTTCAAACGAGAAAACCTCCATTTTATGAAAACACGAAAACACTTAACACATGTGATAATGCATGTGAGGGGCCCCTGGTGGTTGAGGACGACTAGGTTGTGTCGTGCCAAAGGTTGTTTGCATCACAGATTAGTATCACATGTGTATGATATGTGATGGATTACAGTATCACATCGAGAACACCCTTATCACATGTTATAATACACGTGAGGGGGTGTGCATTGCACCAAAGGTCGTTAGCGTCTCCGATTTAGTATCACATGTGTATCATATGTTGATGGACTATAGTATCACATGCAAAGCTATTAAAGGCTCAAGGTGCACTTAGGCGCAAGGGGGTCCCGAAATGAGGCACTGGCCTCAGGAATGCGAGGCGCATCTTATCAATATTATATATATACAAACACACACACACAATTACACACAACTCAGATATGCAGCAAGTACAAGCTTCTAATGCAGCAACCAATAGCACTTCAATAGAGGCAAAAGGGACAAGGGTTTAAAGCATGATTCGTGAAGGAGAAGTTGTAAGGTCTAGGTATTTATAGAGGAGGCTTGAAGTTCGAAGGATTGAGTATTTGATATTAGGGATGACTTATATCATCTATTTAATAACTTTTTTTAAGAAGCCTATGAGATGAGAAGATGAAACAACTTATTTAATATTAGGGTTTGACCAGGTATCTAATAACTCTTTATGAGGCGCGCCTAGGCCCACAAGGCGCCTTAGTGACCCTTGTGAATACGCCAAGCCTCAACTTCAAAAAAGCCAAAGACCTTGAACCTTATGCGCCTCAGAACCTAGGCGTGCTTTTAACAGCTATGATCACATATGATTGACTATAGTAAAAGGGTGTTCTCGCGCTTTCGTAAAATTAAGATGTTCACGTTTGAACCCTTCCATACATATATATATATATGTGTGTGTGTGTGTGTGTGTATATATGGAGAGAGAGAGAGAGAGAGAGATAAAGAAAGAAAGAGAGAGGGAGGTCTAGGGGAACACCCCAAAAAAATTGAAAACTGAGGAACACCCTGGTAACCATCATCTAGACGACATGCACATGTGCACACATGTAACTGAAACAGTGTTTTATTTTTATGCACGTTCATAAAAAACCAAGAAACAACTTCAAGTATTTATATGCACATGTGCATACCGTCAAGATGAATGGTTACACGAGGGTATTCAGTTTTTCAATTTTTAGGGGTTTTCCCCTGAACCTCCTATATATATATATATAGAGAGAGAGAGAGAGAGTCGGGCTCATACGAGAATGATACCTATTTAAGAAAATAAAGAGATTGACCAAATCACATGTGATTTTACACTTACATCACGTACAAAATCACATGTGATTCACGCGACCTTGCCACACGGCCATAGGGTCGCCCGCACCCTTTTTTGGCCATTAATGTATAATCACATGTGATTTTGTACGTATTTTGGCCATTCTTGTATTTCCTTAAATAGGTAGCATTCTCGTATGAACCTACTTCTATAATATATATGGTGTGGGCTGTGGATTTGAGTGGGCATGAGGGAAGTGAACGTTACCTTGATCAACCATAGTATATAAGTAGCAGCAAACGCTGCTTGTGATTGATAGTCCTCGAAAACATTATCTGGAACAGTTGTACAGGACCGAAAGAGTTGTAATTCGTTATCCACAAATGATTCCACATGGGTCCCACCCATACGAGCTGCAAAATGCTTTATCCAGCACAGGGCTAGAAAACGACGATAAAGCCATAGGGCCTGGAACAAGAAAATATTACACTTGATATTATATGGCCCAAGCATTAGGAAATTAGTGCCCCCAAGTTCTTAAAGGTGCATTTGGTATTTGGTAAGACAGAACTAGAAAGGACAAAACAAATAAAATGACCGATGTACCTCTAATGAATTGTCTATATATTTTATATATTTTGATTAATTTATGTAATTTATTAAATTAAAAATAAATATTTTTTATAACAAAATATATCATTAGCAAGTTTCCGTCAAAACGATTAAAATGACACCAAAATAAAAAGTTTATGTAGTTTCCTATTTTTATTTAAAACCTATTATATATTATTTTTTATCATTAATATTTGATAAATTACATAAATTAACCAAAATATAGAAACCGTAAAAATAATATTTTGAGGACAATAAAGTGAAAGTTTAAAGAGCATAAAATATTGAAAATAAAATGTAAAGAGAGAGGCGTATTTGATATTTTAGAAGAGAATTAGGTTTTATTTTAAGGTTATATTGGTAAAATATAGGTATGTTCCACCTTGTTTCATGGGGTGGCGGTGGAACACGCCTATTCCACTTTGCTCCACATAAAAGTCCCGCCAAACATGGAACAGACATGTTCTGTTCTGTTCCGTGTTGTGCATCGAACACACCCTAAAAGTACAGAACTCTGCACAAAATCACACGACTAGCAGCAAACGTAAAGAACTACAGTTGTGTGTTGGGATTAGAGAATTACAATAATAACGATAACATGCAACCATGGTTGATCTAAATCATAAGGTCCAAGTCTTGCCTCTGTTGCATCAAATGAGAGAAAAAATAACAAAAGCGAAAAGTGCATAAAATAAAATAAAAGATGGTAAACAGATCCACATACCTCTCTTCCTATGTAACGCTTGATTAATATCTCGCTCCAGCTAAGTTCTTCCTGCCAAAATTTTCAAAATGCAAATGGATAATAAATTAGGGGAGCTCATGAATGCAGATACGACATCACAGTAACATGAAAAGTCTTTTCATTTATTTTGAATGACTTAGGTAAGATGGGGCATGGTAGATTGTATACAGAAGCAACTCCAAATGTTAAGCAAGCAGACGTGAAGGCATGAGGCTTTAGACAACTGCAATTTCATTTACGTATATATTTCATGAATATATCATATGCTCTCTCTGTTCCATACTTTCCTGTTGACATCTCTCATGGTTGGTAAGAGGCAATGCAAGCTTACAATATCACCCCAAAAAGAGTTGATCCCCTTAAATTTGATCTTTTGTGAAAAATAAATTTGCAAGTAATTCTTGCATAGTTCATGTTGTAATGTACGTTTTTCAAATGGAAAGCACATCATAGATTAATCAAAGAAGGGGATATAACTACAAACCTTCCAAAGTTGACAAACTTCAGCAGTAGTATGTACATGGCTTGCTTTTAAATCTTGTTTATAAAATGAATCCGCTAATGTCCTGGTCAGTAACCGCTGCCCAATCAGTTAGATTTCAGTCATTCATAGTAAAATAAAGAAAATAAATCCAAATGCATAAACAGACTTGCAAATTGCATAAACATGAGACTGCATAAAACAAAAATGTTGCACTTGATGGACACGAGCATGTGCAAATAAAGATACAGACAAACGTAAAAATGTCCCTTGCGGGGCTGAACGCATCACCAAGTCTATATTTATGAACTGCATATCTATTGACATCATCTCAAATGCAAAGAAGTTCATATATACATTTAAAATCAAGAGAGTACTCCATACCGACCATTCTTTTCGATTTACTCAAAGGAAATAATGATTCAGTGTATAGATGCTAGCATTCCAGATTATGATACCATGCCCAAATAATAACTCCAAGGTTCTTTCACTCTTTTTAGGAGTATCAAGATCAAAATTCTTTTATGTCCAGGGGATTACACATCTGTGCCAAATTCTAGAACTGTTCCTTATTGAAGTCATAAACGTGGCATAAGCAAGAGGTGATGTTTAATGATCCTCTGCTTCACCAGTTAAAACTAGGTTCACAAGTACATAAAAAGATCAGGAAGCCTCAAAAAGATGCTTCTAGTCTCTTCTTCTTATGAATTATAGAAACCATTATAAAATATAACATGAGCAATGCCAGAGTGCAAGCTACACTTTGCAGTTAACGAACTCACCAAAATTAGTAGATCAATAACTTACAGAACCAACATTTGAGCACTCCAAAAATGATAAAAAGCAAAAACAAGAATGATAAAAGTAACACTGTGAGGCTCAGAACATGTTCTTTAATGTTTGAACCATTGAGCACAGATTCAGATACATGTAAAAGTAAACAGAACATAACACCTTTGGGATTATAATATGGTATTATGGCATCATTTAGCCCTCTTTCACAACTTTTGGAGCAATTGAGGCCCATTTGCATATATATATTTCTTTTGTAGTGGTTACTATACTTGTCTAACAAGAACACAAAAATAAAATTAAGAAAAGGCAGTTAGAAATCAATCCGCAGGTATATGCTGCAACATCATGTTCCTTTTGCTCAGGCACTGACACCATGCTGTCCCATTTGGGTAGATCTAGTGCACAAAATCTAATGCATGATGTACATAAGAAAAGAGCATCCCCCGTAAAAGAAAATTCCTGTCTCTAAATTAATTAATGGGGAAGAGGAGGAGAAAAAAGTAGACTCAAGAGGAAAGGAGGAAAACACTGCATGTGGATTGAAGCATTCTGTAAAACTCAAAACTCTTCCCTGAATTCAGCTCTGCCTTAACATGCATAGTAGAAAAGCACAAAAGGGCCGTTGTTTGTATATGAACCGAACCCAGCCGAAGGTGGGCCCAGGTCTCAAGGACTGAACATAGGCAGGGGCCAGTCTTTTATGTCGAAAACAGTCTGCATTTTTTGTATTCCAAGAAGAAACAGATCAGGGACCAAATTCGGCCTGGTCAACGCCGCTTACAACGGTTAGTTTCTTAAATGGGTGAATGCTTGTTGCTTCTGCAGAAGCTACAGAAAAATAATCATTAAAAAAGCGCGATCAGGACTGGTTAGGAACGTCAGGCCCGATTGGACCTAGTTTTCAGCCTAAGGATCGGAGCGGTCCTTAGAGGGACTGGGATATTTTAGGTTATTTGTGCATCTCTAATATATAATTTACCAACTTATTTTAAGAACTGGTAGACGGATAGCACCCACTTTTTACATTTTGAATTCATGTATGTACGAACCCATATGATCCAGGCAATCTATAGAAAGGATGCATTTATGTGGTCAGACAGCTATTGTTGGAAGTCGTGTCACATCGAGCTATTATTAATAAACCCTCTTCACATTAATGATTGTGCATCCAGATCTCAGTTGAAAAGAACTCCACATGTTAGGGGTACCGCCACATGGAAAGTGTTCTATGAACAAAGAACACTGCTTCATGCTGGTGCGTTTGGTACGCAGACCGGGTGGGACAGGACGGGACAAAAAAAATAGTCCCATGTTTGGTATGACATGGGACAAAAATCACATGGGACAACATGGGACAAAAATCTGATTTCATGGGACAAAACTTAATTTTTTTAGCTCCACCAACATAGGTGGAACAACATGGGACTAAATGAAAGATTACAAGATTACCCTCATTCTAACATCTGATTCTTAACCTAAAGCTAAAACAAACGCCTCCAATAGTTCACGTCTTCTTCCCCATCTGTTCATCGCCTCCGTAGTTTGATTTCTTCAGTCACGACTTCTTCAACAACAGGTATGCTTTTGATTTCTCACCTTCACGACTTCTTCATTTGGTTTTCATAGTTCACGACTTCTTCAATTCTTCACGTCTTCTTCCCCATCTGTTCTGCTCTAGGGTTTAGACTTGATTTAGAGTCGATTATAAGCTTCTTTGATTTCGATTTTCTGGTTTGGTTCTCAATTTTAAATCTGGTTTGATTTTCTGGTTCGTTCTCGATTTTAGACTACACTCTAAGCTTCTTTTCCATTTCGATTTTCTGGTTTGGAATGCGATTTCTGGTTTTATTTTCTGGTTTGTTCTCAATTTCAGACTCCATTCTAAGCTTCTTCTCTTCGATTTTAGTTTCTGGTTCGATTTTCTGGTTTGGTTCGATTTAGATATCTGTCCGGTTTGATTTTCTGGTTTGGTTCCATTCTAAGCTTCTTCTCTTAGAAAATGATATCGGCCTTGTGTTTGTTCAACCAGAAAATGATTTTCTGCTTTGATTTTCTAAAAAACAGTTCAAAATAACATTAAACAGCATTTAGGGGCAATCTGGTCATTTTAACAGCTTTGTCCTGTCCTGTCCAGCTTACCAAACACATGACAGACAATTAGTCCAGTCCTGTTCTAGTCGTACCAAACATAGGGTAGACAATTAGTCCTGTCCTGTCCCATCCAATCTGCGTACCAAATGCTACCAAAATGGTCCAGTGGCATGTGTCACATTTATGAACAACCAAACAAATACCGAACAAGTAAAAGGCTTAAATGAAGCAGGGTACCTAAATTCTTTTGGTACAAGTAGTAAGAGCTGACGGGATCTAAGGACGTGATCTTAGAAAGGAGAGCATATAGAGATGTAGTTTGAATAAATGGTACCAAAAAAATTACAGTACCCATATGTGTCCACCAGCAGTTTGTACAGCATGTTAGGATTAAAAACATAGCTTAGTTGAGTTAGTTACTTAGTTGAAGACAAACTTACCGTTCGATAGTGAAAGCAAGAATTATCAGCAACATGCAATCCAGCCCAATCTCGATATTTAATTAACTCATTAATGACCTGAGAGACACATGAAGATCTCATTAACACTCAAGCTGTAGTGCACAACAAGATACAGGGAACAGCTACTATTTAAAGAGCTTGAGCTTATGTAATCGTGAGAAATACATGCCACGACATGATACAACATTCCAGCTAGTATTCCCTGTCCACAAGTACTCCAAATGAAATTAAACAAAAAAGGTTGTGACAATAACAGACCACAAGGTCTTTAAGTTTGCACCTGATTTTCGGGCATGTAAGAAACTAACCAACAACGATAATTCCATGCACGGTAGTTCATCTTTGACTTCTGCATAATTACAGATAAAAAGATCAGGCAAGTTGTGCTGCCTAACAACTACAAACAATTACCAGTCCCTTTTCTTCTAAACAACAACAGTTCATTGATCTACTCATGCATGTATGTAGTATGAAGTATGCTTAGATATGCACAGTAATGACTGGATCATCTAGTCCATGACAGATGAAACAACTTTATAGTAACGACTACTGAAGACTAGTTAGAAAGGATTCAATACTAAGGAAATACAAAACTTCAACACATAAACTATCCAGATGTCCAAACTGAAATTTAACCTCTGCTATTCTTTGGGCTAATTCAGATTCATTTTTCAAGATCTCTTGCAGATTTTTACACTTCCCAGCTATCATCTTGACCACCCATCGCCTATCATAAATTCGCATAAATAGAAGAGGTTACTAAAGTAGAACACAAACCAAATATCAGAACAAACTTTCATTTTTATAGTGTGTTTGGAGACATGTATGCATCGATCTATTCATGCAGATGCATAAATAAATTCTGTGTGTCTAAAAGCACAAAAACTAGAAGACCTTTAATTGTCTTGAAGTGTTGATCACTCCAATTACTGTGACTATATTTTCCACAAGGATTAAAATCTATCTTTATCTATAAACAATTTTAAGATTTAGTTTAAATCGATTTATCAAATGTGAGGTTTGATTTTGATTATATAACTTTTGAGCAATTCAAACTGGAACCACAGCCACCGGCAGGCAGTTAGTATTTCTTAATAAATCGATTCCTAGATGATTCCTAGATGGTTATTGTCTAGTTCTGATCTCAGCCTCTCAGGTTTTCAGTTAACCAGTCATCCAAGTGTCAGGAATCTGCATTTGTATCTAGTTTTCAATTTGCATGTTTCAGTTGTATCTGGTGTTTTGGATAGTGGACAGGTTTAGAAGTGATCTCAACTATCTGTAGGCTCTCAGTTGTTGGAATCGTGTTTTGATTGGATGATCTGTATAGCCTGGATGGTTCATACTGTTTCGCTGTGTATTAGTTGTTTCGGCATTAATAAAAATCCAATTCTGAAATACAAATTGGACATAGTAGAATCTGATGACTAAAAAAATAACTTCCCGAAAAGCAGAATATTGAAATGCAGTTCAATTTTCGTTCTAACATATAATGAACTTGAACAACAAAAGAATGATCTAAATGTTATTTGAAAGTAGAAACTCATTTGGCTCGCTCATTTCTCGAACAAATCCAACGGCATTTGGCTTACATATATTCGACAGACGTACTCTACCATAAAACATGAAGAATCATAAGATAAAAATAATTTGAACACTAATAAAACACTACTTTTATAGAGCAACAAGATTTTCGTGGTGGAGATAACCAGAAGTACATAACTATTTTCCAATAGAAGAACTGCCCAATAGAGAAACTACCTTCCCAAATGTTACCTATGGCTCCAAGCTCGCTCGCTTTTGGGTGAATATGAAAGAACCAAAGTTGAAACTAGGAGCTCATCGAGGTATAGCATCATGTTCTGCTTCTTTGAGACAACTTCCTTCCTGCAAAGCATTAAGAGCATAAAGCAAAGCCATCTGTCAGGGTTGGTTTCACTAAACAGATAACATTTTAAATTAAGGCCTTTCAGCAGAGTTGGCATCCTTGATCCTTATAAACTATCTCGCTCTTGGGGATTGCACTTTTGCCGTGCTGATTGACCTAAACTTTTCAGATAAACCATTTCAGTCAACTGCATAAAGAGGATAGACATATCAAGATTCATTCCTGCATTCACCCCTACCCATAAGCGATCAGACCACATGTTTTCCGGGCACCCTTTTTCATCATACTAAACTCTCTCCCCCCTCTCTCTTTCTTGATATTGAAAAAACTATGAAGCCCTACCCAATACAACCAGAAACAAAAATGGAAAACATCAAACAGAGGCAATAATGAACCAATGCACCAAAGTGTTTAATCTCAAGTTAATTCAAACTAGCCATAAATCAGGTGTCCATGGGTTCTAGATTCCCCATTAAGGGTTTTTTCGTCATAATACAGTACTCATGGTTGCAGGCATAAGTGACAGGTTTTTTGTATTTTGTTTGTTTTAGTTCTATTACTTATCTTGCTATAATTATTGATTCAAGGAGTGAAGAGCGTGAAAAAGTTCTTTGAACGAAAAAGTCAGGTGGGACCCAAAATATGGCATGAGACGTTATATTGTATTAGACGTAATGAGTGTTGATGGGGTGTACAGAGTGAATTCTTTGTTTTTGCAAGTCTGATTAGCAAGCACATGGAAATGAGGTAATTAGGAGGCTTAGATTCACGTCATTGGTAGAAGCATGACGAATATCCAAAAGAAAATGGGCTTAAAGAATATTCCTGTGCATCAGCTCCTGATAACCGATAGTATTTGTGCTATGAGGAAAATTTAGAGGCATGCCACTGGTGCAATGTATACTACAAGGTAGATAAATATATCCACAAAGGTTTGAGCATGTAAATTAAAAATAAACCATAATTGCTTCAGAAATGTTCTTGAAACATAAAAAGGTGAACAAATGAATAAACCTGTGATGCATCAGAGAAAAAGAATAAGAAACCTGCAATTCCATGCAGTTCCAAAATCACAACTCAACAGCAAAAGTGCCCTGCTATGCTTCATCACTTCGCATTCAAGAGTCGCTAGGGAAGAAACGTTTGAGACATTATCACTGTCCAATCCAACTTTCTTTGGATTTAAATGGATCAACAATTTATATTGCTCTAGTGAAGAACAAAATGCATGTTTAGCAGCATTATATAATGGATGGATGGCCTGGGTTGAAATGCCAAGCTTGTGATCTCTACTCCAGAAAGCCATGTCAGTAGGATTGACTTGTGATGCTTTTAACTTGCTCTTATCTGATTGTGGCTCCATTGACATTGATGAGAGGGAAGGAGAGCCAGACATGTCACTTAGAGCAGCAAACTGGGATGGATGAACGAACCCCACTTCATCACTGGTTGCAGATGAAAAATAAAAGATAAAGCTATGTAGATGAACTAACATGTGCAATAGGAAAGGCTAGAAGAAGAAGAAGAACGTGACGAATGGATATATGCAAATCTCAATATTTTAACTACCTATGAGGCTATGAAAGATACAGACATCAACTCGGATTTTCATTGCATATTAGACACAAGGGTGCTAGCCTTTCAGGGAAAATATAATGGTGCCAACAATAACAACGGATGAAAACTGAACACCCAAGAGCACAGAAAAAATCTCCTCACCCTCAGACGTAAAGGAAGTTGAGTTTGAAAAGAGGTGGAATAGAAGCCAAAACCTCCATTTGACAAAGATCCCCATAACATTCTGAAAATTCAATATCGAAAGTAGATTATAGTGGATAATTTTTTTTGCTAGTCACTCAAATATTATACTTGAAGGACTACTTCCGGTTCACAGAGCAGCCAATTTGACTAATTTATGACCACTTTGGCAGCATTATGACATGGTGAAAATTCCAACATTCCAGTGATGGCCAATTTAGGGAAATTAGGGTTCAGTTTCAAACTTCAAAATTCATCCACCTCGTAAAGAAAATCCATATATGGTTGGCATATATATATAACACAAAGTCCTTGAGATATGATAGCCAGTTATGGATGTAAGTTATTCAGATCGGTTCAATCGAGTACGTTGCAAACATTTTACACACAGGAACTGGTATATAATAGTACATATAAAACTTACATTAAAGGATCCGATTCAAGGATGAACTCTAACCGATACAGAAGAGATGAAGGCTCTGCGTAGCCGGATGGATCTGCTTCGCTCATGACTAGTTGAAGAAGAAAATATCGGTACCGTCAGACCCACCGGAATAAATTGGCCGGAACCAGCCAAGATATCACTAATCAAGAAAATCTAGCAGAATCTGTAGGTTACTTTCCGACCATCATTTGATAAAATCAGTTTGATTTTTTCTGATTTCCATTTTATTGCACCAAAAAAAATCGTTTAAAAAAATTTAATTGGCACAACTAAATTTTACAAAAATTTCGTGACCTTTAAAATAAACACATTATTTAAATATTCATATAGTTGTTATTGATAATTAATTAAAAAGGTTAAATACAAAATAAAAGGCAGAGTGAATTATATTTTGATCCCTAAGGTTACAATTTATTATTAAATAATTAAGTTTGATTCATCTTTTAAAAATAATTACAGTTTCTGGTCATTTAGTGGTCATTTTGTTTTACTTTTGGTTCTTCTAGCTATTCTTGACATAAGGGTTGTTCGGTTTGTTTTCTGTTAAGATTTGTATGGATATAGTTGTTTGTATTGATATAGTTGTCTGTATATTAACAGATAAGTTGTTGTGCTGAATAAACAGCCTGAATTTCAGAAATAACTATTTTACCCCGTCTTTATTTTTGTCTAAATAAAACAACAGTTTGATGAAAATATTGAACAACTTAATTAACATAATTATATGAGTTAAATGTTATAATCAAAACAACATTAATAAGTCCTTATAATAAAAACAAGTCAATAWCATAGTTTGGATACAATTTAAAATATCAAACATTTGAAACTAGTCCATTTGCAATTTGATCACGCAAAGTAGTCATATATTGTGTGCTATTAACACCCCATTGTGATCCATCTAGTTTTGTTTCTCCACTTCCAACATTTTCTTCTTCGTTGGTGAAAATGGTGTATTCGTTGTACTCCATAAAATTTGATCTTAAATATTACATTTTCTTATAAAGTTGTGTATCGCGAAGCAAGCAATGACCACGTTTCTTTGTTTTGTAAATGAAAAAATAGTCATTTGCTTCAAGATTGGAATCTAGCTTTCAAGACAGGGTGTGCACGCTCAATGACATTTCGAAGTTGTGCATGCGCATGATTGAATTTTTCTTCTTTAGTTAAAGCACGTCTGCGTCGATAATCTGCTAACCAATACCTCGTTTTACGATACGGAGCTAAAAATCCAAGAGCGTTGGAATATACAGCATCACAAAGATAATATTTATTTGCATGCAACAATTGATTAGGAAAACATGCAAACATTATTTCAAATTTTAAACATGTTCGATGTAAGTGAAATGATGTATACCTTCAGGTGGAAAAGGAAAACCGAAAATTGGGTTAAAAGCAACTTCGGTTAGCACTTTAGAATCATGTGCAATGTCTTCCCATTTAGCCCAAACAAATGTGAATATCATATTGAAATCACAAATGCCGATAACATTTTGGTAGCATCGACCACCTCCTCCTCCTCTATATGCAGTTTGATGACTAACAGGCACGACTGCATGTATGAGTGTCCCATCTAGTGCACCAATTGCACCATTCATTGATGAAAAAATGTTAAAGATTTGTACTTAACTATAAAAGCAAAGCTTACTATAAATATTTCTCTCAAACGACTTTGCCGATTTGACATAATCTCTGTGTTTGTTTCAGACGTTGTTGGACATATAGTTTCTCTCGCAAACTTCATCATTCCCCGTAGAACTTCATGAAAACAACTATGGACAGTGTCGATGGAATGTTGAAATATTCGTTTGATCACTCTATAACGTTCGTTATGTTCGATCAGCCATATCTACTATACAGCTCATTAAGCTGTTACTGAACAGCCCCTTAAATGATTATATAAATCCCAAACTGTGTGTAGGACTTTTTTTGCTTCATGTTTTTTGTTTACAGTTCCTTGTGTTTTAAGCAAAAAAAGAGAGTGTGCAACAAATAGGGAGCTACCACCAAAGTATGAACCTAACAGTAACATATAAATAGTAGGCTTTTGGTGCCAACAGTTTAGAAATTCTAGATATATGCCAACAGTTTTGAGTCTTGGCTCAATTAGTAGAAGCAATTAATGAAGATAGGACAGGGACACAAAGGTAAGAAAGTTGAGATCAACCAACTCCAAGAAGGCAAAACAGATTTAGAAATAAGTGGAAAGGAAATTATATCAGAGGGGAGGTGAAGTCGTGATTTCTTGACTGACATCTACAAAGAAACTCGTACACCATAACCAGACATATATGTGATTATGCATGTACACTTGTTCAGAAAAGAGACCATTATATACTACTGAAGGGGAAGGGGGGAGGAAGGATGCTTTAGATGCAGTAAAAGGTGGTCCATTGATGTCGTTGCATGAAAGCACAACAGAACTTGGATTTTATATTCATCATTATGGATATTTAAATTCAAACTAGTAAAATGTGCTTTCCGGAAATTCCAAAAAACCACTCACAACTTGAGTAAAAGGGTCCCTGGTCAAAATGCTAGTGCCATCAACATCTATGTTGTTAAAAAGAGCAGTGGAGAAGAACGATGGCAGTTTGCAAATTTCATTCGTAAGTGGCTTGAATTCTACATGTTCAATAGAAAATTAGCACAGTTAAGCTACAAATATACCACAAATTTCATGTTAAGAATCAGAGTGGCCATTCATAGTCTACCAAATGCATAAATGCACTTGAGAGGCATCTCACCATGTGATTGTAGTCTATCCGCATGACCATAGAAAAACTAGTTACTTCTAAACAAGCATCGTTCTTTTAGTTCATTAGGGGGTGGATGACCATTCTGAAAGTAAAACTGCAAGCATTGCGCATGCTTCAGTTAAACTAGAGCATTAAAGAAACCATTACTCAAGCTATAAGCAACAGAGTGGTAGTACAACCACAACTGAAGTGCTTCTTAGCATAGACAAACACAATCTTATTTCAACTAGGTTGTTTTCTGCTGCAAACATGAGGTATTAACTCTTTCACTGGCTCACTCARCACTTTTAAAGGAGAACCTATAACAGATGGGSCTGCCCTTTGTTTTGTGATACGTGGAGAACCAGATGAACTTCTTGGCGAAAGTGGAGGCGCGCTACCAGCAGGAAACATGGAAGGTGCYGAATTGCTGGAAGAAGCCTTTGGGCTGGAAACTGATCCGGAGACATTCAATGGAACACCCGCTTTAGCATTGTTAAACAAATATTTCACCTATATCCAAACAGCGAATACCATGAACAGTTTGTACCCAATTGCTAAACAAACTAAAACTACTAGAAGCAATCATGATGAATGAAAATCAATGCAGCATAACGCCGACCAGGTTACAGTATTTCACGGGGACATAAACAACTCTTTCTAATATGAGGGCCTTCTGACTTGCTAAAGGTGTTCTTTTTTTCCAGCAATACAAAATAGAAAGCATTTCAAGAAGAAAGTACAAGCAAGTTGTTGATGAGACAGAACAAGAGAAAGAGGGTGTTTAAATTGTAAAATAACAAAGAGGAGGCAAGTAAGTTGATACACTCACAAGTCATAAGGACTGGCCTCTTGTTCCTAGCATAACTTAAATGGCCACAAGCTACGTGTTTGTTTGAAACTGCTATTTTCATGATGACCCTCATTTGGAGGTCACTGTTGTACCATCGAAGATGCCAAATAAAATAAAGGAGGAAAGTTTTTCGTCATGGCAATTTAGTCAGCTTTAAAGAACAAACTGTTAAGTCCAAAAATCAAATTTCATTTATCTGAATAGTAAATGTAAGTAGACTTCTAATCTAAATATCTTGGTGCTATGTGATGAATAGGTGTATGGCCCAAGTGGTAACTTTGTTGTACAAGTTTAACCTTGCATCAATTTGTTTACCTTTTCTAACCATGACTTCTTCAAGGTCTTTCTCAATCCTTTATACGGGCAAGCATTTGGCCAATGTGGTAGCAATTCTCTATGGCATTTCAGGTGATGGACACACACCAAATTTCTAAATCTGAATAATTTTAAGATGAAATTCCCAAAGTTCTTTTACAACCTTGGCAAATCCACAAGACCACAAGCATATTATGTATGATGCATCAAGAAAAAGATACGAGAAAAATCCAATGAAATATGTATTTAAGGGTAGGAATACAAAATCAAATATCTTTAAAAATGTTTTTGATGAGAAGATTGTGGCTTGGTTAAACCTTATACAAGATGTTTTATTCAATAGAGGTAATCAGATATTTAATTTGTTCTAWAACTAATTTTTACACATGAGAAGTGACAGACAACTGTCATGGTCGACACATACTCTAAGATGGAAAACACATCCAGAATGGGAGGAAGAGAAAAATAGTGTATSGATGTTAACGTATGAATATGGAAAAACAAAGAAATTGGGTGTTTAAAAGACGTAAATAAATAAGAAACAACTCCAAAAAATGAGACTTATCAACTCGGGTAGTCATTAATCTGGACGGTATGCACATGTGCATACAAGTAACCTGTAAGCAATTTGTCCGATATGCAAATGTGCATAACATGC